ATAGACATAAAGGACACGTGTAATACATACTAATGCTGTATGTATGCACACACAAAAACTTGGCTCTTTTTATTATATATCTAGGATAAATAAGATTTTTTTTTCTCATAAATGTATAGGTCTCTGTTATATAGAAGGGAGGCATCAAATGTTGCATGAAAAAGGGTTCTACAAAAAAGTAGATCCCTGATTCAATTTTATTAACAAAAGATGAAAACCTTCTAAAAAAAAGCTTAAAGCAACTTTACCTGATGCAGAATCATAGGTTTGTTAGCGAAATCAACAAGAGGCTTAGGGAAACTGAGTGTTAGTGGCCTCAACCTTGTTCCAAATCCCCCAACCAGAATCAATGCCTTCATTTTGTTGTGCCCTTTATTTCCCTGGAAATTTATAAATTAAAAACAGATCAGAATAAGCAAACAGAAAATGTGATCTAAATATGAGCTGATAAATTAAACTGTGCTCTGTAAGTATCAATGCTAGGAACGAAAGAAGAGCTAGCAAAGAACACCTAAATGACAATTAATCTGTTGAGTGTGACATGGATCCTTTTATGAGTCACTGCGGGAAGCATAGGCTAGAACTTGAAAGTAAAACACACACAATGTTTTAGCCATACATAAAAAACACAATAGGCGGCTGTTTCCTTCTCTCAATGGGAGAAATTTTCATACTTGATTTTTATTAAAAAAGAAAAATCCAAAAGAGAATCCTTGAGGTGAAAATACTGCATTAGTTCAGCACACGTGAACCGAAAACACTCCAGACAGGGATAATAGGTTGGCTAGCTTCAATCCACATGGGATACTCTGTAAATAACATTTAAAACCAAACATAAAGGAAACAAAAGACAGAACTTAAAACTGATGTCACAAATGAAACAAGATATGCAATGAGGTTACATGAATTGGACAGAACAAGTAGCATGACATGACGTATAGTTGCTAAGAATAGTTTATCCAAGGTCTTTGCAGAAAAACCCTGTCTCTTCCAAACTAGTGTAAATTTCTTATTACATATAATTCAATTCCTCTGTACCAGCTTCAGCCAGAAATTTCACAAATCCATGAAAATTCAAGTAAATTTACCGAACAAATAAATCAATTCAACACAGAGCAAAAGAAAAATAACTACAGAGAGAGAGAGATAGCAGGGACTTCCGCACCACACAGCAGCACCAGATCTGAGTAGAACACTGAAATATCTAACGGAAATCAAAAGCAGAGCAAAATTCGAAACAAAAAAAAAATGAGGAGCACGAACGTTGCGATTAAACAATCAGAATTCGGAAACAACATGCACTGATTGATTAGAACAGAGGAAACGGCAATGGCATTGCTTCAATGAGAAATACCTTTAGATCGGCGACGGCGAAAATTAAAATCGAGCTGAGTCTACTCCAACCCGGACCGAGTCAACGCGGCGAGTCGGAATCCACAACTGCAACGAACGAATCCAATAAGAACAACCCCCAAATTCTTCTCCTCCATCTTCCTCTTTATATAACACCCTCACGCGCCAACTGTAAATTATAACTACTCTTTCTTAATTATTACTTTTTTATTTTATTTTATTTATTATACAACATAAACCAATAATAAAATAATGATCATAAGAACCAACAAATTTGTGTATATTTCTATTGTAAGATTAAAAAATAATTAAATATATATTTTTTATCATTCAAAACTATTAAAAATTTGAAAAAAAATTATACAGGATAAGATTTCCACGTGATTTTTAACAAATTTTAATTAATAAAAAAAGATTATCCTATGGGCGTGGATTTTTCCTTTTCTTCGGTGTCGGTGGCTTGATATGCTGTTTCGGAATTTGGCCATTCTTCTGTTTGTTTGTGTTAACTTTAATCATCTTCTGTTGTTATAATCGTAAGGTGCTATTTCCTTATTGTTTTCTCTCTGTACTTCACATGCTACCACAGTTTCTGCCTTCTTCCACATTTTGTTCTTTCTATAATTATTGTTGTACCATTGTATGAAATTTCCTTTCTCTTTTCAATGCCTTTTTTTCCATCTCAACATAAATTAAATGCAATATATTAACTTATCCTATTTATCACATGCTAGATTAATTTTATGACGTCATAATTCACAAATATACCCTTAAATATTAAATACTCTCTTTAATATTAATTCACCATCTTATATATCTTTCACTATCTAATCAGTATTATTATATTTTTCATACTAGAGTAATGGTCGTTGGTAACTGTCATTATAGTATTGCTTTATTAATTATAGTTAAATAATCACTCAGCCAAGGGCAACAAAATAAATTCACATTTCACAATCAGCGTTAGTGGCGCCAAACTGGCATATTCCTGATAGATACTCTCCATCTCTTTTTTCCTTTTCTGAAAAAAATATATCCATGCAAAATCAGTTTTTTTTTTCCTTTGTAAAACGTTTTAAATTACCAACTTAATACATAATATTGTTTAAAAACAGTTATTCTGTCTTTTTTTTTAAATGTCTTATTTTAGCATTATAAATTTACACACAAGATTAATTCAATACATTTGCATCTATAAGACTGACAGCAAGTCTTCAAACGTTCTTGCTTGATAACAATTCTTTGAAGTATTTTTGTTTAAAAACAATTTTAAAAATTATTTCAAAAGATTCAAATTTATTATGTAAGAGGATATTTTTTATTGATTTTATATTAAACTTCCCCCCTTGTTAGGGTATTTCTTGTGGTCTACTTCAAGAAAAAAAAAATTCTAAATTAAAAGTTTGTAAACATTTAATGTTTAGTGGAATTTATTTATTTATTTATTATTGAATACTTAAATAAAGCAAAATTGTTAAATTTCCTCACCAAAAAAGGCGTTACATAGTCCACTTCTATTCTTTAGATTTTATTTAAATTATTATATAAAACTATTTAACATGGGGACAGGGTGACAATGTGAAACATATAATTTATTTAAATTGGTTTCTGTTATTTTAATTTTTCTCTAAAGGATAATTATTTTACACGCAAATGGCCTAACCAAACGTGTTGAATTTTGAATTTCCTTTGACATTATAACGAGTCTTAGATCTGGTCATGCAATTTTAGTGTATTGATTATTAATATTCAATTTGCAAATTTAACATAACATTTTAAAATAATTAAGTCTGACATTACGAAACAGAAATTTTATAAAAACGAAGAGTAAATTATAATTATTAAAAATGTGAAAAGTGTTGAAAAAAGTATATCGAGATTTGTGGGAGATAAGCTGGCATGGAGTATTAATAAAAAAGCTTAACATTGATGTTATTCTAATTAAGTAACTTGGTCAATGAATTCAGTTCCCTGTGCTTGAAGTTATGAAGCTCCAAAGTCAGAAATAAATAAAAATGACTAAAGAATCAATAAATTAAATATTTCCAATAAACATTATCGTAGAAGTATATATCACTAATATTAGTCATTATGTTTTTCTTATATAAACTTTTTAATAAATGTTTTTATATATATCACATGTATGTTCTTTGATTTACATTCTTAAGAGCACAATAGAATTACTTGTTTAGAGAAACTTAACCAGATGTTTTGTATATATGGAATTGTATTAAATATTAAAATATTCAAAGTGAGAGTTTGCCTACTGATAGTGATTCTGCCTAATATTATTGTTTCCAAACGGCACACAATTTACATTAAAAACGATCGTAATGTTCATAAATGCTTTTAAGAACATTTATTAACAAGTTTTTGGGTGCATTAAAGGAAAGGTTTTGACTCTTTGACAGACTCTGTTTAACAAAAGTGAGTTTGATAGTAGCCACCTCACCCACTTGATTTTGATTAAGAAGCAATTACTAAAACTAATGTGAACATGATGAAGATCCAGTGTGATGTCAAGCATAAGATTAGCATAAATACTAGGTTGAATTCATGATGGGGAATATGCCATAACTGCCAAGGTCTATCAACCTGAAATGGAAGGTGGAGCTTCATACTCAGTATTCAGGGCAATTTATTTGGCTACAGGATTTTTTATGGTCTCTACAGAATGATAGTTCCACTTTTTAAATATTGTTATTGTTCTTTCGTTGTTGATTAGTGATTAGTGACCAATTGCAAATTGGAACCACAATTTTGTTTCGTAAGTCACACCAGAGCATATCATATATCATTATCAAAGGATGAATATGACAGTGAAAGCCCTGTGAATGGTCTAAGACAACCTTCTTAAATCCATTGACGGTGAAATTGAGAAGTACCAGAAATATGGATCTCAGAGCATCTTCTACGAGAATTAATTTGACTATTAGGCCCAGCTTCGCTTTCATGGAACAATTCCTAATTGCTATCTTTTGTTTTCTACCGGAAAGAATAATAAAAAACACACGCTTTTACATGAAATTGGAAAAACATTACCTTACTTTCGTCAAAGAAAAGAAAAAGAAAATCACTTCCATCTTATTTCTGCCACTGACATAAAAGAAAAGGCATGCTTTATTTTGGTTCAGAAAAAACGTATTGGATGGGAGAGGTAGTCCTTACAGAGGATACTCTTTCACTCTTTCTGAGGTCCTTGTCAATCTCGAAAGAAGTTGAATGTTTAAAAATCTTAATAAAATCAATAAATAATATATAAATAGACTCAAATATCATTTTATAAATCAATTTTACAAAATTAAATTAAATTTAAAATTCACTTATTAATATTAATAAACTTCATGCCAAAATGGTATAGAACAAATTGATGTTAATTAGTCGAAATGGAATATGTGAATTGGATTCCAAGATTCTACAGATAAAGGGACGTAATCAATTTGTCTCTGGTTGAATCATCTAAAAAGTTGATCCGGGTAAATGTGTAATGGTTGTAAATGGTGCCTGGCAAGAAGCCAGTAAGTAATCCATAACAAAAATAAGGAAGCTGAGTTAGGTGAAATTTGGTTTATATTGTATTGATTAAAAGGATTGCATTTACAACTATCCAACAATTACATGCCAGCAGACTAACTTCCCAGTTCATATAACTATACTGAATAGTCTATACAATAAAATATAATATACACAATGGTTAAGAATGTTACATAGGTGGAAAGACTGAATACTTCTTTCCAAGCCAGATTATCGCTTTTCAATGGTGTTAAATACTAGAGCTAGTCATGGTTATTCACAAATCGCACACCATGAAACAATACACACGTGTATGGGTAGTATACCACTACTTTATGTACATTAACCATTGCCTTTCAGAAGAAGCGCGAATCTAACTAACAAAATTTGATGAAGAGACTCCGATAAAGCATGACATCAGGTGGGGGACTCGGCCAGAAGAAGAGTATGCCACCAACCACAAGCAACACTTTTAGGAACAAAACCTTCAATGGTGACTTCAGAAGGAACGTTACGGTCAACCACGTCCCCAAGGCCCAGCTGTGACACCCACAAATCACAACTTAGAACAGAATGATTCCACGACATGAATGTTACTAATACCAGCACAAGTCTACACTTACAATAGAAGTGGTAAAAAAAACGTTCCTTGTTTAAAACATGAAATAAAAAGATGTACATATGAAAAAGGTTGTGTGATATAAGCACCTGTCCATATTTGTTCCATCCCCAGCAGAAAACTCTTCCACCCTCTTGAAGAACATAAACGAAAGGAAACTAATTAAATGTGGAAGAATAGACATGGCAGTTTACATGTGTATGTTCTTTGAAGTGCAAAAAAAGATAAAAATTAAAAATTAGTTGTGCATAAGATCCTGATGACTACTGCAAAAGTTAAATTAAAAACAGTAAGGTACTTAAGAATTTGAGTTATGCTAGAAATCTTATTTAACTCGTGTGGGATTTGGCTAAAACAGAGATTACATAACCCATTCATAACAAACCATGTCCGAGATTGTTCAGTTTGACCAGCACCGTTGTCTTTATGGACATCACATAATTAAAGAACCTTTTTACCTTACATTCCTTCACAGTGGAACCGACATCCCACATTTTTAACAAAACAAATATGTTACAGCCTATTTTTACCATAGTTTTCTTCGCAGTTGTGTTGGCAAAAAATGAATCCAACCAAACATTGGGAAGGTGAACGAATGATTAACATTTGGGGAAATTTTAAGTGCTCACAGCTCATTTACTTGAGAGATATCAAACAGATATTCAGATTTATAGTGTTTAGATATGTGTTAAATGCCTTTAATGGAAGCCTAACTCTGATTAGACAGCTATTAAAATGATATAAGCAGGTATAGGATGGTATACCTGTTACCAAAGCAGTGTGACGAGCACCACACGATATATTCTTTGCATGAATATTTTCCAAACTCGGAGAATCCACTAGTCTTGGTAGAGTCTGCTTAAAAATTGAAGTTAATACTTGAAAAACTGAATCACAGGTTGCCTCAACTAATAAAACAATCAAATAATACCACGTGCTTAGCAGGTCATTCAGTGACATCAATATTTATGATGAATGTATAACCAAAGCACACTGATATGTAATTATTATTTGTTTTAGCGACAAACTGGGTGGGGAATATGGGATGACACTAATTATAGCATACCTCAGCTTGATCGGCACCAGTTCCTAGCTGTCCAAACTGATTACCACCAAATGCATACACATCACCATCAGCAGATGTACAGACTGTATGCCACAGTCCTGCAGCAACCCCCTCTATGTGGATACCCAATAAGGAAGATACACAAGTTGGGCTTAGTTCATCATCGGTACTTCCTTGCCCACACTTGACCAAAACAAGATGACATAAATAGAGTATAATGAGCTTAAGCATGCATTGACCAAGAGGTGACAAGAAAGATAAAATATTGTAAAGGAATAGAATAAATAATCCCTTGTTAGAGTGAACCACATCTTCAACATCTACTTGCTTTTGTCCACCATATTCTACTTTACCTACAGATTCATCCTTAAGAATGGTTAAGGGGTGATGGTATCCAAACAATGCCGCAGATGAATGTATTTCAACCGAGTATCACATAATTCAGTTGGATTCAATTCAGTTGGATTCAAGTGTATGATAATACTCCCACAATCTAAGGCAAGTCAAATCACAAATTTAATTAAGTACACGTTGCACTTCAAATTTTTCCCCGTACCAAGGAAGTATTACATAGCAAGATAAACAACAGATGTTGGTGATATATCATGCAAAGTGAGGTAATTCAGAGCATGGGGTGCTCCTCAGTACCAAGGGGTTACTATTATCTGATAAGATCTGAATGATAAAATGGCCGATGATGAAGAAAAATGGATTTCCCATGGAAATAAATTAAAGGCAAAAGCAGAACTGGAAGAGAGAGAATTTAAGCTCAGTCGCTGACAAGAATACTGCATCAGAAAGGGATTTTCTAATATTAGGATTCAGGAACCATTGCTAGCAAACTACAGCCTTGCACACATCAGAAGATTTCATTTACTATAAACGCTGGCAAAATTTATGGAAAAACTCAGCAAGTTTGATCTGCTATAACATACCCATTACATCAATAACCTCAGTTATGAAGCCATGAAAATGAATTGGCAATATGCTGGTGACAGTGCATAATTACAAATTCGTCCAGTTACATTGCCGAATAGATATGAACTTGCAGAAGTTAAAAATAATATCCCAGTTCACTTTAAATTTTACCTGTCCATAGAGTCCCCAACCAAAAGTAAGCAAGGCTCCAGCATCTGTCAACTCAAGATAGATATTCCAATATTAGTACAAACAAATTTACCAAAGATGACAAAAGTTTTTTGAAACAAAAACAAGCTTACGAAACAAGTTTTTATACTAGCAAAATTAACTCCTAATCTAGTACCCAGAAAGACAACGCTCTATATAGATCAATATTTTTTCAAGTTTTTGGATCTAATGTTAAGATATTATGTCTCCTTGTCAAATCAGACAATTCCCAATCAGTCCACTCGATCCGTTAAGAAACTAGTTTTCTCCTAAACACCACTAAGCACCAAATTTTGACACCATGTACGAAAATTGCACCATTATAAACAAAGCATATAGATATTTCATTTTAGGTTCTTCAAAGATCTAAAGTGCAGGCTGTCCAGTTTAGTTGCTGAATAGACTGACACATATGTACCTGTAATGACTGCACTATGTCGACCTCCACAGGCAATTCTCTTTATGTAACTTCCAGGAACTCTAAAACTCTGTCCCTCTGAACCCATGCTTCCTCGAACCAGTGTAGCAGATCTATCTTTACCATAATAAGAGGAATCAATACATGGAACGAGATGAGGAGAGGATACCATACGTATTCTTGAACCCAAACCAAGCTGCCCTTCACCTCCATAACCCCAAGCCCACACCAGTCCTGTATCTGAAACTCTCATTCAACCAAAATCAATGATACGTCTTAGACATCAAAGATGTTTCAATCAAACTGCGTTACACAATGGGAAGAAAATAACCCACATAAAATCTTGGACTTGGGTTTAAAACTAGTCCATTACAAGGTCCTGTACTGTACCTGACAATGCAAGCGTATGGCGTCCACCGGCAGCAACACTAGCTATCCTTATTCCTGGATTTAGTGTGACAAGACACGGAAACGCAGTTAGACTATCATCGCTGGATGATGAGCTTTCAGCTGTTTGCTTTGTTGCAGATACTCTCCTTCGCTTTGTACTTTCTTCTCCACTGTTATTGGAGGCAGTACCTCCAGTAGATCTTGAGCCTTGTGAACGAGGGCTCACTATTGCAAAACAACTCTATATCAGTCACCGATAACAAGGAATCATGGTCCCCCCCAGGGAGGGATAAATAACTGGAGGCAGTACATCCAGGTAGGGAATGAGGGTTCATCATAGAGGGGTAAGCTACAAAACTTTTGTTTTCTTCTTTCTTTTTTTGGGGTTGCAAGATTCTATCATAGATCCCCCACTCCTTCTTTGGAGCACCCTAGCTTGCGTAGACCACTCCTTGGGAGGGACAGCTAGCTGTACATAAGCTGTTGTTCTAAAGAGGTCAAACATACCTTGCTCTGTTGATAATTGACTATGACTTCCTGGCACATCCTTTTCAAGACCTACCCCTGTCGATGGTTCACCAAATACCCTCCCTGAGGGAATACATTCTTTCCATCCCCATGTATAAACTTCTCCATGTTCTGTGGCAAAACATATTTGCAGAAAACTTAGCTTAATGTACAAGACATAAAACTCCTTTCCGACTATATGATATTGTTGAATTCGTTTTGGATGTGTTACTTGTTAAAATAATAGATACATGAAAAGGCTTTTAGAAAACCAAAACTATAGGTTCTATTAAGTTTAGTCTTCTTCTTTCACTCTGATCGACTCATTTCTTCTTTTCCTCTCAGGCCATAACGTAAGAAAATCCACCTCACCTGTTACAGCAACACAATGAGCCCACCCTGCTGCAGCTTTCACAATAGATGCTTCGGTTGGAAGAGGGAAAGGCTCTGGAGTTTCCTTTACAAATAAATCAGAAATGTTAGTTTGTTGACAAAGAAGAAAGAGATAATAAAAGAGAGCATCGGGGTCAAACTATCCCATAAGCAGTTATGCATTACCCCGTGCTTGCCAGAAGTCACATAGCTTTGGCCTAAATCATCTGTCGAGCCCCACGTGATGAGCTTCCCTGATTCTGATTAAGGAAGAACACGTGAGTAATGATGAATCCATCATACAAATAAAATGGTAAAAGAAACCGAAAGAGAGACAGGCCATAACCCAAATGCTATCAATTAAATATTTACAACACAAGGAAGAACAAAAACACATTCCATGGGGTGAGGGGCAAGACATTGGTAGTAACAATAAATTGTCTCTACTAAAACAGTAATGAAAGCCTCACGAATTTCCAAACAACCCCATAAATTCATCTCCTTAGGTTTGAGCGTTTAACCATATTTGACCAACTTCACAAAATAAGACCCCATCAAAGTTCAAAAGCGCAATGCTTTATTTAATAAAACCATAAACAAAAATACAAAAAATATTGTTCACTCAGACCCCGGTCGAGAGAGGAAAACAAAAACTCCAATGAGAATAAAATCAGAGAAGGGAGCTCAAGCCGCTAAACTGAATTGAGTTTCTGCTCCAATCCTCCAAGTTCAACTATTTCCCCAAACCTGCTTAATTTTCAAATCCAAACCAATAGAAGAAATGATAGGTAATTAAAGGAATGAAAAGATAAAGCACCAGAGATAGCAATAGCGAATCCACAACCACCGCCGCAAACATCATTCCAAGAGTGACTACATGGCGGAAACCTAACGGCGACGGGAGTCAAGAGCGGCGTCCTCTGCGGCAGAGCTCCGGGAAGGTAACCCCACATGTAAAGCACCCTCTGCAATGCCCCTCCTCCACTTCCCTCGCCATTATTCATGCCCATTCCCACAATCTCAAAACCCACTTCCAAAAGAGTCAACAACACAAACACTCACTCTTTCTTTTTCCCTTTTGTTTTCTGGCGCTTTCTTCTCTTTGGAGAGAGAAAGAGAGACAGCGGGTTTGTTTCTGTTTTTCGTTTTTTCTTCGAATGGCCCAACGTATAAAATGAACGAATCATTTTCAGGGGAATGAGGGTGCCACGTCGGATGCCCATGTGGTTCCATAGCCACGTGGCCTACTTCTGGCCGCTAGATTCTTCCGCCATTTCCAGCCACGAGTTCCATCGAAGCTTCTGGAAGGTCACGCGCGTGGTGTGTTACCGTGTTCACTCCATTTGTCGACACGTGTTACGTATAGGAAAGAACTACAATGATTGTGCTTCCACGTCGCATTTTCTAAACCTGTAACGTAAAACACATCATCATTAACCTGAGTCAAAATGGGTTTAATTTTTGTTTACAGTGTATATTTAATTTTATATATGTAATTTTTACTCTTTTACTATAAATCTTTATATAATTTTATTTCTAATTACCTTTTTAAATATTTATAAAATCCTTTAATTTTTTCACCATTTCATTAATTTTTCCTTAAACCTAACATTAAAATGTATATTCAAAATTGTGGACTTATTTGTACATCACATTTTATTTTTTGAAAGTGCATGTGAACTTGTATTGCATTTTTTTTTCTTGTAAATTAATCAATGACATGTGTAATTTAATGACAAGAAATTAAAAGCTTGACGTAGAATTTTTTAGCAATAAATGGATGATTGTTTCGTCTGACCTTTTAATTGGACCATTACAAAATTTGAAAGAACTATAGGTTTGTTTGAACTTTTTTTTAAGATAATTTTAAAAAAAAAATTATAATAACCATATGAGTTTATGAAAAGTTAAAAGTAAGCTACTTCCAACATTTTTAAAAGGGAAAACAATGACTTCTAAATTTCATGTTTAAATTATTCTTGAATAATTTATTGCTTTTTAAAATTACAAAAAAACTTTTCTAGTTTCATTTCTCATTTATACATTTTTATTAAATGAGACGAAATAATGTAAAGAAAAAAGTTGTTTTATATTTTTATAATTCTTAATTATTCAAGAAAAATTGTTCATCTAACAAAAATTATATTGTAAGAAAATATGGCAAGAAATTAACAAAAAATAAATTCTTCGTAAATTTATATATATATATATATATATATATATATATATACTAATATTATTTTACATTTATCCATCAATTCAATCATCAATTTCACTAAGCAATTATAACAATGAAGGTTTAACACGTCCAGAAGAAAAGAAGCAACTTTAGTTAAGTTATCAACTATTTTTTTAGATATAAGTAAAATAATATTTGAAAATGTTAGTAAAATTATTGTTTTACAAAATAAATTCAAGTTAAACTAATCTTGTTTAGAATTTCAAAAACAAAAATTCAATTATTTAATTTATGAAGCACGGTATTATGAAAAAGTGACATTAAAAATAAGGAGTTTTGTCTTTAATGAAATATTTTTCTTAAAAGGTTTTTTACCCTATTGTGAAAGTATTTGGCTATTTTGAAGGGTTAAAAGATGAAAATAATAGCAATAAAGTGAAAGTGGAAGTATGCATACACATGAAAGTGAAATTAGGACATGTCAAATATTTGAGAAAGAAATATATTATATATTCAACTTTAAAGCCTTTGGTTGCATTATTGGAAGAGTGATAAGGAAAATAAAATAAAGAGAAAGTGACATGAAAAATAAAGGAAATATATCAGAAATAGAACTTTGTAGTTGTTTTAGTGTGTGTACTGATGGGGTTGTAGTTGCCATGCACGTGGATCATATGAGTGGGGTGGGGCTTGTTGTGTTAGTGGGTTCAATGAAGGTAATGTGGTTTCAGGATATTTTGGGTTTCTATGTATTGTGTTGGTTATGGGTTGTAATGGTGGTTATATGAAGAGCTATAGTGTTTAAATGCATGTTTAAGTAATTTTGGGTTCTGGAATATAGAATAGCTGTATAGAAATGATATGGGTTTAAATGCCTTGAATGAACTAAGGTGGTTTAGAAGCAAGTGTATGCATCTCATGATTTCCGCAATTTTAGTGGTATGTGTATAATCAAGTAGAGTGTTACATTAGTCAGGATCTGCAGTTTGATTCATGATGCTTGTTAAGTGGGTTCAATAGGGGCTGAAACTAAATTGTTGAACATTGGGTAATGAGCGTACTGTCAGGGGTGTTTTAATGTGACCATTAATAGTACTTGTAAGGTTTTCCATGGTCATGTAGGAATTATAAAGAAAAATTCACGTGTGGATCATATTTGAACTTAAAACAAAAGTGGTTGAATGGTGGGAATCTATATATATATATATATATATATATATATATATATAGGGGTACGTGAAACTTATGCATATAATAAAAAAAAAATGAAAGTACATGGGAGATAAAACAAAAACGTAAAGGGTGAACATGATGCGTGAAAGGGATTAACGTGAAATCACTTAGTGATAGAAAAATGGTGGACACATATGGGTCCACTTTGGATGGTGCATGATGGATTGTCATGTGGTGGTGAGTTTGTAAAAGGGAGGGGTATGGAAAGTAAATTGTTAACTTAATCTTGGTATAAGGTTGACTTGTACCTTAGTGGAAATTGTTATATTTGTTCTCTTTAAAGTTTGTCTTATGTCTATACTTCTTTGAATTGGATTTGTGCCTTTTCCTTCTGCAGCCCAGCCAAGACATCCTAAGCTCGGCAACCCGACAATGCAGACCAACCAAGACATCCTAAGCTCGACAACTCGGCAATGCAGCTGGGCCAAGACATCCTAAGCTCAGCAATCCAACAATGCAGCCTGGCCAGGTTAGCCTAGCTAAAACACCTAAGCTCGACAACCCAACCATGCATCTCGGTCAAGACACCCTAAGCTTAATAACCTAGTAATGCAGCCCAGCCAAGACATCCTAATCTCGACAACCCGGCAATGCAGTCCTACCAAGACATCCTAAGCTCGACAACTCGGCAATGCAGCCTGGCCAAGACATCCTAAGCACAGCAACCCGACAATGCAGCCTGGCCAAGACATCCTAAGCTCAATAATTGGTCCTATTGGTATTTGCGAAAACCACTACTCCCACGCTCATGCTCAGTTCAGTTCAACCACACCCACACTCGCATTCGCTCACTGTTTTCTATAGACAATGGGTTTATCACTCAACCAAACTCACCACTAACCTGCGATTATGCTTCCTTTTCTGGAAACTAAGGATAGGTTTTAAAAACACGGACAATAAACACATTTTAATTCAGACTAATATTATTTTCTTGTTTCTGGAAACTTTGGGTTAAGGAGAAAAATAATGATTGTTTTCGTATTTGGTTTTGATATACAGTCAGTGAAATTTGACAATCAATGAAGGCCAGGCCTACCTTTCCTATGGCCAATCACTATGAAAGACTCTTACTCCAATGTTATCACCACAAAAGAAAAATCCAACTAAAACACGGCTAAGTATCACCACTTGGGAGTTGTCCAACAAAGAATTTTGGACCTCTAATATATCTTTGGATCTTTGATGCCTTTGTTTCAACATTGTAGCTTAATATTTTGTTTTGTTTTAGTGGTCCAGCAACTGTGATATTCCACATTTCCGCCCTTCACACTAGGGGGGAGTATGTTTCCAAGATACTGCAAGTCACATATATATGGGTGTAGTCCCTGCATTTTTGTAGATTTCAGCTACTACTGTTGATCCCGTCACCTAGCCATCATTGATGAGGATTTAGTGTAGTCCCTGCAGTTTTGTAGCTCTTAGCTTTCAGCTACCACTGTTGATCCCGTCACTCATCAATCATTGATTGAGAATCAGTCCTTGCAGCTTGTCATTGTACACCACTGCTCTCCTTCATCCACTTTTAAAGTTGAAGTTTCACAAGCTGCTGTTAGTCCATCTATGTTTGCCTCACACTCTTGAAGACAAATCATCTAGTTCAACACTGAGTTCATCTATTCCAAGCTTAGTTCATACAATTTATATGCTCTAGCTTGAGGGGGAGTGTTAGATATATTATATCTTTTATCTTTTAGTTAGTTTGTTATTATTTCTCATTTGTATTTTGGGCTTAGCCCATATTTCTTCTATTATAAATAGAGAACCCTATGTGTGTATTTAACACAAGGGAGATTAATCCAAATATAGTTTTTCACTATATTCAACAGTTTAAAAATGTTGAAATCAGTCCCCCATTTGCTTTAAAAATGTTCACATAGGTCAACCCAATAATGCATATGATGATGACTAATGGCACATATTACCCGTTTATGCAAAAATAAGAAATTTAAGTAGAAGTTTTGACCAAAACATCATCAAACCACTTTCATTCATTACCACACATAACACAAAGACATGAAGACATCAATTCACTAATATACAGTACATAATACCCCCAGTTCATCTAACAAACAGTACATATTACACCACCATACCATGTAAGTTAACTATCTAATAAACCAATTCATCTAAGTATCTTTTCTTCTGACTTTGCATTTTGTTGGACTGGATGATTGGGGACTTGGTGGCTGTGATGGTTGAGGGGTCGGGGAACTTGGAGGTGGCTGTGATGGTTGTGTTGTTTCTACTGGCTGGGGCTTTAAAGGGCATTTATTCTTGTTGTGCTCCCTCTGACGACAAATACTACATTTTTTCCTATGTCCACCAACACGCATTTGAGTGTCATCCTTAGTTAGCTCCCATGCTTCCAACCTCCTTTTTTTCTTTGGCCTCCCAGGCATCTTCCTCATCACTGGGGGTAATAAATCATTGAAATTTGTGGTTTCCCATAATAGGTGGCCATTGAGTGGAAAAATTATGGACGCATACACCTCTTCATAGGTGGATCTTGTGAACAAAGTGGGGATAAAATTCTCTGAATCAACGTTGGAGTAGTTCATTGCTGCAATTGCATGACAGCATGGGATGACACTAATCATCCACTTTCTGCAGCTACACTCCTTTGTGTCCAGGTCCAGTGTGAACTTGTTCCCAACTGATGAAGTATGCCTAACCTCAAAAATATTTCGTGCAGACCAACTGAAAGAAATGAAGCACATCAATAATGTAGATAAATAACAACATGTATATAAAATAAATTGATAATATTACCTTGGCACCCAAAATCTTGACATATTACATTCCTTCTGAAGTCTCTTCTTTATCTTTGGGCATATGGTGAAGTCCATAGATGCCACCTTGGTTTTATAGGTGGCCCACCTTTTCATGAGATAAACTCTGATATCCTCCATAATGGTGATAATTGGTTTTCCTCTTGCATGAATAAGAACACTGTTGAAAGCTTCACTGATGTTGTTATCTAGTGTATCATTCATTGCTTGACCTGTGAAGCGAGATCTTGATCAAAACCTGTTGCACAAAATATTTCTCAAATGGGTTACAATGCATCAGGGACACTAAATTGTATGTAATTTCTAATGGGTTACCTCGGGGGAATGCCTATGAGGTATTTATATGCTTCAATATTGACTTCTTTAATTTTCAGCATCTCTCTCCCAAGCCTGGGGATATGTGCTTGTGGCAGCTCTCCACATCAGATTTTTTAATATTTGACCACCAAACATTTTCTTAAAGTTTGCATACAGGTGCAATCTTTGTTCTGCCCGAGGCAGAAGCTCCTGGATAGCTAGGACCAACCCCTGCACAATTAAATTTAGTCATAAAACAAGATCCTTTAAAAAAAACAATGAACCTGCTTTGTGTGAATATTCTTCTTTTTCTCTTGAAAATCCATAAATTCTCCAATTTTCTCTTCTCCAATTCTTTCAAAGTGTTATAGTTGCGAGAGTTCTCTTCTTTCACCCCTTCGGACTCTTCTTCTTTCTCTCTTGAAAACCCAGAAATCCACAAGATTTCTCCTCTCTGATTTCTTTCGAATTCTTTGCTCTAGAATCTTCCTCTTCTTCCTCTCTTTTTCAGTTTTAGAAACCCTCGACTTTCTCTTTTCCTATTCACCTCAACTCCTTCTCGAATTCCAGAAACTCCTCCTTTAATCTTCTCGCTTTTCGAATTCCCTTCTTTCGAACTCACTGTTCACCCTTTTTGCTTTTCCTATGCTTCAATTCCTTCCTTAGCAACAACATGACTGTTTTCAACTCACGTCGCGAGATTGGCGGGTTTTTCTTCTGACAAAAAAAAAGCATGAATAAAGTATTATGCATTTTGTTTTAATTTTTTTTATAAATTGTATTCTCTTAATAATGAGTTTTATTATTATAATATATATATATATATATATATATATATATATTTATTGTCCCCACCTTTTCCTATTTTTTATTTTTTTTATTTTTCCTCTTTTGGTTCATTTATTGTTATTACATTTTAAAAAAACTTAAAACAATTATTTCTATTTTTTCTGCATTTTATATATATCCGGATCTCTGTACCTGAATCAGAAGACTTCCTCCTTCGTCTGTGTTGGACTCAAGTTCCATATGAAAACTGCACAAAATTCGAACTTTAATATAAACTTAGATGTTTGCATGAAAAATAGAGATTCATTACGTTTAGTTGAAGTATTACTTACATTTTCAGAGTGGTATTAAGATCATCATGCCAACGAAGATCTTCTTCTCTCCTTCCAATTCGTACATTTGATAGACTGGGGGTGATCAAAATTCCAGGACAAAAAGTTTTCATTTTGGACATCCAATCACATGTACTTTTTCGAGGGCTGGAAAATTGAAGTTGTCACTTTCCTTGCAAAAGCTTCTAAGCTTCGGTAAGTTCTCCAAGTACAATTCTTTCAATTTTATAAAAACTATCTCAATTGCATCATCGTCTTTATTTTCTTTAACTTTCATAAAAACTGCATCATCATCTGTATTTTCTTCAAATTTCTTAAAAAATGGATGACTTTTATTCTGATGCTTGCCAAGGGCACCTCCACTTTGACTCTTCACAACAATGTTCTCTATGTTAATAGACCTTGATATTTCAAGCACTTGAAGCTGTTGAAGCTCCTTAGCCACAACAACTGGAAAAACATGTACCAAGGCACGACATCCTGTAACTTGTATTTTGTTCAACTTGTGAAAAGAATTTGGACCTTATAGTTTGTTCCATAATGATTGCAAACCACTCATGCCACTAATTATCAGTTTCTCCAAGTTTGGGAATGTAACCTATTATCAACATATCAACAAATACTCTTAAGTAAATGTATAAGTATGTATTTGTTAGATTCAATAAGACATCTAATCACACGTAGTTTTTCAAAGGCTGGAAACTTGAAGTTGTTACTTTCCTTGCAAAAGCTTCGGTAAGTTCTCCAAGTACAATTCTTTCAATTTCATAAAACCTATCTCATTTGTATCATCGCCTTTATTAAAAACTGCATCATCATCTGTATTTTCTTCAAATTTCTTAAAAATGGACGACTTTTATTCTTATGCTTGCCAAAGGCACCACCCCTATGACTCTTTACAACAATGTTCTCTATGTTAATAGACCTTGATATTTCAAGCTCTTGAAGCTGTTGAAGCTCTTTCGCCACAACAACTGGAAATACATGATGCAGGGCATGACATCCTATAATTTGTATTTTATTCAGTTTGTAAAAAGAACTTGGACCTGGCAGGTTGTTCCATATTGTTCGCAAACCACTTATGTCATTGATAAGCAGTGTCCCCAAGTTTGGGAATGTAACCTATCATCAGCAACATAACATATATTCTAAGTAAATGCACAAGTTTGTATTGTTAGATTCAATGGGGAAGTATAACATCCTCACCTTCTCTTGTTGGACAAATATCTGCACCAAAGCAGGGCAAGATTGAATGTCAAGAAGTTTCAATTTTGTTAGTTCTCTAGCAGTCGAGGATGAGAACAAACTTTCTGTGTGATTATGATATTCGTCCTCTATCAAATACTTCAAGTTTTCACTGAAAAAGGGGACTCGCCATTTTTCATCCCACATCTTCCTATATGAACCGATGTTAGACAACCTCAAGTTTTCAAGGTTGGGCATTGCAACCTATTAGCACTCAAAGTCATCAAAATGTTATTCTACATGTTTATTGATAGGGTAAAAAACATTATTAAGATAAATCACATTGTTTTCATAGCTATAGTGAGCTAGAGAGTGAGTTAGAAAATGAAATCTATGAAGACATTTGAACTTAAGTAAATGAAATAGATTAGGTTCACATTCCACATTGCAGATTAAACACCACCTTTTCCCTTTTTAGAAAACTCTTGAATATGGATTTCAACATTTAAGATGCATAAAAGATTTTAAATAGTGAAGTAGTCATATACCTTTTCGTTGAACAGATTATTAAGCTCATCATCCTTTCGACCATTTTTACCTCTCCATTCAAGCTGTGCTATGGTTGTGAAGTTTACATGACCAGAAGACTTCAAATTGGGACATCCAATCACCTCTACTGTTTGCAATGATGGAAATTTGAAGTCGTAACTTTCTTGGCAAAACTTTGTGAGCCCTGGTAAGTATTCCAATTTTAAATGCTCCAATTTTGTGAAAGTAATGTGTTATCTGGTGGGCCGTGAATATAATTATCTTCAACAATCATCTCTACCATAGATGTGGATATTTCCAGCACTTGGAGCTGGAGAAGCTCCTTAGCCACAGCAGTTGGAAAAACATGATGCAAGGCATGACATCTAGTAATTTTTATTATTTTCAAATTCCTTACAGAATTCGGAGCTTATTGATTGTACCATATTGAGTTCAAACAATTCATGTTGATGATAACCAGCATATCCAAGTTTGGGCAAGTAACCCGCCACCAATAACATACAAAAATAGATTTCAGCTAATACATTAGCATCAAATCTAGGGACACAACAATTATAAGCAATGCCTCCAGTCTTCCCTCTGTCGTTCTCTCCATAACTCGTTCTCGCGCCCAATTTGGGATCCCGCAGTTTCTTGATTACTTCTTGATCCTTCACCCTCCATTTCGAAACGGCAGGTCGGACCAATTTGTTAGGTTCCTGGGTTTGGAACCTAACAAGAACACAAACAGTAGGTAGAAAATGTAATGAAAGAATGGGTTCTATTTTTGTCAGCAATAGAAATCTCTTTACAAAGAATGGTTTGGGAGCATAACCTCCCTGGTAGAGAGCCTAACCTCCCCTCTCAGGATGACAAATCTTGTTAGAACTACAATCAAAACAATCCACACCCATCTACAATTGTTTATTTGCTATTTATATAGCCAATAACCCCGCCCTTACTAACTGCTAATGCAGTTAGGCATTTAATGTTTTATTCCTTCTCTCGTAAACTCTCCATCTCCTAACAATTTCTCTCAAATCCAACTACCACACTCATCAACATGTGGCATACTGAATCTTACGTTACATAAAAGATTGCCCTGGCTTAGGCATCTTCTTTCACAGTAACTTAGTTCTTCAGCTTAAAGGCTTCAATGACTGATTGGTAACATGCCCCGACACTTGCAAATCTATCATGGGTTTCTCTATCTTTTTATAACTCCATTATCTCCTAGAGATCAAAGAAACATCAAACCATTTTTTGAAGCTCATCTGAGGCTGAATATCACATCCTCACAATCACCACATGCAAGCTTCAATGGTTGACCTTTCTCCTTCAAGATCTTCAAGTTTCTCTTAAAACCCATGTCCTTCTTTACGCTGACAATCAATCAGCGGTCCAAATAGCCTTAAACCCAGTCTTCCACGAACGTACTAACTTAACCACATTGAGATAGATTGTCATATTGTACGTGACAAAGTTGCTAATGGCTTCCTCAAATTACTTTCCATTTCGACTACCCTCAAATTACATGATCTTTTTCTTAGACGTCATTACAACAGGTGCATCCAAGAATCTTTGGTTGAAAATGAAGCCAGCTCGGTTACACAATGATGACGCTGCACCAACAGAGAAGTAATGTTCGTAAAAGAAAGAAAAGAAGACTGTCAGTCAGCACCGACAATGACACAACCACCGCATTTCCCTATCCATGGTCAGTATTGTGGCTTTCATTTCTTCAATATTATCATGTGATTGATCCCCTGCAAGAAATAGATGAACCTTATCTTTCATTGTAATCCAACTACAACCTGGATTTTTTTTTATTCCTTTAAATTTTTTGGTCTTTCTTACTAAGTCACTGTCAATCTTTTCCCCAGAAGCACAATACATGTTAGATAATACCACATAAGGAGTTGCATTTTTAGGCTCCAGCTCAGTAATGTGTTTAGCTGCAAGCTTAGCAAGGTCGAGACGGAGGTAAGTATTGCTTGCACCAAGAATAGCCCCCCAAACTCCAGAATGGGGCTTAAATGGCATTGAACGGATTAGATCAACAGCTTCATCAAGCAAATCTGCACGGCCAAGGAGATCGACAATGCAAGCATAATGATCAGCTTCTGGCTCAATTCCATAACGTGATTTCATGGAGTTAAATAAGTCCCATCCCTCTTCAACTAATCCTGCATGAGTACAGGCTGAAAGGACAGCAAGGAAAGTAACATGGTTGGCTTCATGACCTTCACTCTGCATTTTTCTATAGATACTGAGAGCCTCTTTGCCAAAACCATTTTGTCCAAACCCATTGATGATTGAGTTATAAGAGATGACATTTGGTTCAATGACATCTAAGAAAATCCTGTGGGCATCAATCACATTCCCACACTTGGAGTAAAATGATATAAGAGAGTTTTGTACAGACAAATGATACTCTAGGTTCATTTTCAGAATACATGTATGAATCTGTAGCCCTTCATTTATTGCCACTAAAGCAGCTGAAGCTGCGAGGACACTACTAATAGTTAAAGGATTTGGCTTGCATTCCCAAATCATCCGAGCATACCAATGCAAAGCTTCCTCATACTCCTTATTATTTACAAACCCAGATATAATAGTCGTCCAAACAAAATCATCCTTCACTGGCAACATATTAAAAAGCTGTATGGCATTTCCAATTCTTCCACTTTTAGTAAACCCTGTGATCATGGTTGTCCAAGAGATCAAGTTTTTCTCTGGCATACTCTCGAAAACCCTATACGCAGCTTCCACTTCATTGTTATGAACGTATCCAGAAATTAAAGAATTCCAAGTAATTATATCTTTGTCGCTCAATATACAAAATACTTTGTCTGCCATGTCTGTGTAACCAAACATGCAATACATAGTAATCATGGAGTTACTCAAAACACTTTCCAATTCAAATCCCAAGCGTGAAACCAACCCATGTATCTGCATGCCCTCTGGCATTCTACAATAATTCCCGCACGCTTTAAACATGATAGTCACTGTGGTGGAATTAACATCAACCAGACCTTCCCTCCTCATATCTGTAAACAAGGAAAAACCCTCTTGAAAGAAACTTTTCCCCATGTACCCATCTATCATTGCACTCCAAGAAACCACGTTCCTTTCAGGCATCCTGTCAAACAGCTCCCTGGCAGCTGCAACCCTCCCATCCCTGCACAAACCATCAACCATGGAACTCCAAGAAACAACATCCCTCTCAACCATGTTCTCAAAAACCTGCAACGCCTCATTCACTTCACCTGCCTTCAAATATCCATTTATCAACGCATTTGATCAAGCAGGGTCCCGGAACTCATGTGGAGCCTGAAGGTACAGTTCCTCAGCCATGTGGAACTTCCCTGCCTTCACAAAACCCGTGATCATGGCAGCATATGAGACCAAGTTGCGTTCAGACAACACTGAAAACAGCTCATAAGCTTTGGTCACGTTGCAACCATTGCGAATGTAAGCCGAGATCATTGCGTTATATGAGACCGTAGTTCGTTGAGGCGTTTGATCGAACACTTTGCGGGCGTTTTCTATTTGGCCATTTTGGGAGTAGACAGTGAGCATGGCAGTCCAAGAAGCAGTGTTCTTCACGGGCATCCTGTGGAATACCAATTCTGCCCCATTAACGTTGCCATTTCTTCCATTCTCTGCGATCTGTTTGTTGCACTGAATCAAAAGTTTGCTGTCTCTAACATCTCTATTTACAGAGCCACTAGGTTTCGGATTATGCTTGAATTGAAATTGCTGCAACTTAGTAATTCGTTGATGTAAACTTCTGAAGTTCTGCTTCATATTCTACGGCAAATTCGGGGAAGATAGATAATTAAGAGAAAGATGAAACATGAACGTTAAACATACTATACTCCCTGCAGTTAATACACAAATTAACTAATTCAATTAAATTTTAAGAACATTATATGTATACAAAATATGAATAAATCATAATATTTAATAGAAATAAAAAAAACAGGTATACTTTTAAAAAAAATCTAAAATGTGTCTTAAAATAAAAACTAACAGGGAGTAAGTTTTTATAAGCAAAATAATTGTTGTTGAACGGAACTAACTCCGACAAGAAGATCCAAAAGAATAATAAGTTTGATTTTTTTTTAATTAACAAAATTTAAAATTAAGAGATAGTACTTGCAGTGTTTTAATCTTTTTACTTAAACTCAAAGTTCATATTTTCTAAAAGTTTCTAAAAATCTTTGAAGAGACTTACTCCCTTAACCATCAAATGCTCTCAGCAATATTATACCTATTTTTGTCTTTTCTCTAAATTGGATGTCGTTTTATTTTGAGTGGATTTAACTTCCGTTTACATATTTTATATTTTAATTTATTATTTTTATTTAAAAAAAAAATCTTCAACGTGGTCACATTCATGTGATACATTCATTTTAATAATTTTTTTAAAATATTTTGATTATTATTTAAATAATAATATATAAATTAAATTAATAATAATTATTTTATTAAATAAAATAAAATTAATTTATAAATAATTAAATAATAATTTATAAATAATTAAATAATAATTTTAAAAAATTAAATAATATTTATATATTAATTTAAAATATCAACCATTAAAAAACAAAAAATTAAAATAAAATACTATAATGGATATGATACACGTGACACATTTGTTTTAATAAATTTTTTAAAAATATTTTAATTATTATTTAAATAATAATACATAAATTAAATTAATAATAATTATTTGATTAAATAAATAAAATTAATTTATAAATAATTAAATAATAATTTTAAAAAAATTAAATAATATTTATATATTAATTTAAAATATAATAAATTAAAAAAAAACTAAAAAAATAAATACTATAATGGATGTCTACGGATGTGACATTTAATAAATATTTTAAAAATATTTTGATTATTATTTAAATAATAATACATAAATTAAATTAATAATAATTATTTTATTAAATAAAATAAAATCAATTTATAAATAATTAAATTATAATTTAAAAAAATTAAATAATATTTATATATTAATTTAAAATATAATAAATTGAAAAACAAAAAAAAAACTGCATGTCACGATTTAATAAAATTTTTAAAAATATTTTAATTATTATTTAAATAATAATACATAAATTAAATTAATAATAATTATTTTATTAAATTAAATTAATTTATAAATAATTATTTAATAATTTTAAAAAATTAAATAATATTTATATATTAATTTAAAATACAGTAAGTTAAAATACTAAAAACTAAAAAAGAAAAAAGAAAAAAACTCTCGCACATCCGTTTGAAGGACCAGCCAATAAAATAGAAGGCCCAACTCAAGTACACACATGGACAACGTTATAATGACTAGTTCATTTCACATCCCCATACTTTTCTTCTCCATCCCATAAATATGAAAACAAACATAACAGAGAAAGCTTGAAGCTGAGGTAACCGAGGATGCTTGCAGCGTTTGAAAATGCAGGAGTTGGCGGCAACGTTGGGAAGTGTTACAAGACAGCGGGATCTCTGGTGTTGCTGGCGAAGCAATGTCGGTCGACGAAGACGGTCCAACAGGTTCATACCCAAATGGTGGTGAACTCCATTCACAACCACCACAACCACCTTCTCTCCAAAGCCATACAAGTGAAAAACTTCACCTACGCTTCTCTTATCTTCTCCCACATGGCTCCCCACCCCGACGAATACGCCTTCAACATCATGATCCGCGCTCTCACCACAACCTGGCACGACTACCCTCTCGCTCTCACCCTCTTCTACCGCATGAAGTCCCTATCCGTCACCCCCAACAACTTCACCTTCCCCTTCTTCTTCCTCTCCTGCGCCAACCTCGCTGAAATTTCCCACGCCCGTGTTGCCCATTCCCTCCTCTTAAAGCTCGGCCTTCACTCAGACCCCCACTCCGCTCACTCCCTCATAACCGCCTACGCGCGGTGTGGCCGCCCCGCATGTTCGCGGAAGGTGTTTGATGAAATTCCCCAGAGGGACTTGGTGTCCTGGAACTCCATGATTGCTGGGTATGCGAAGGCGGGCTGTGCCAGGGAGGCTGTGGAGGTGTTTGGGGAGATGGGGAGGCGGGACGGGTTTGAGCCGGATGAGATGAGTCTGGTGAGTGTGCTTGGGGCTTGTGGGGAGCTGGGGAATTTGGAGTTGGGGAGGTGGGTGGAGGGGTTTGTTGTGGAACGTGGCATGGCTCTTAACTCGTTTTTAGGTTCTGCTTTGATTAGTATGTATGCTAAGTGTGGGGATTTGGGGTCTGCGAGAAGGATCTTTGATAGCATGGCCACCAGAGATGTTATCACGTGGAATGCTGTTATATCAGGGTGGGTTAGTTTGTTGTTCAGATTCTTTCTAGAGATTAAGGGTCTGTTTGGATATGTGTACCTACAAAAGAAGAAAATAGTAAGAAGAAGAAAATAATAAGGAAAACGAAATAAATTTCTTTACAAGGTAAAATTGATTTAGGTATAAGGGAAAAGTAATTTTTTGGAGAAGTTAATGTGAGAAATTTTTTACAAATTAGCTTTAATTTAAGTTAATTTTGACTTTTAGAGAAACTATTTAAATTTTGTTTTTTTTTTATTTTCTCTTCTTATGAATGTTTATAGATAATCATTTTCAAATAGACCCTAAGTTATGTGGTTCTATCTTTTGGCTTGTATGAGCATCATTATGTGTATGGACGTATAGTAGTGTTAGGTTAGTAATGGGTTTAGTCGAGGATGCTTTGTTCTTGTCAAACAAGCACAAACCCTTCAAAATAATACCTGTATAATCTCAAATACTTTGTGGAGACACGGACAATTTGAATGCTTCTGGTTTCATTTTACATGTTTTTTACTTCTATTTTTAATGTTTAATAACATAATTGATGTGAATAACACAATAATTAGATAAATTCTGTCCATACTTTCTAGGTTCATGTTCCGATCACTTTTGCAGTTATGATTCTGCCTTGTTTTTCCTAAAAATTCATTTTAACTCGTCCTGTGATTTTCACAAACATGACAGATATGCTCAGAATGGAATGGCGGATGAAGCGATCTCTTTATTCCATGCCATGAAGGACGACAGTATTAAGGCAAATAAAATTACCCTGACTGCAGTACTTTCTGCATGTGCAACCATTGGCGCTCTCGATTTGGGGAAACAGATTGATGAATATGCATCACAAAGAGGATTTCAACATGATATTTTTGTTGCTACTGCGTTGATTGATATGTATGCTAAGTGTGGGAGTTTGGAAAGTGCGCAAAGAGTTTTCAAAGAAATGCCGCAAAAGAATGAAGTTTCTTGGAATGCAATGATCTCCGCACTTGCTTCTCATGGAAAAGCCAAGGAGGCACTATCACTATTTCAGCGCATGTCAGATGAGGGTGGAGGTGCCCGCCCTGATGACATAACATTTGTGGGGTTGCTTTCTGCTTGTGTGCATGCTGGCCTGGTAGCTGAGGGCCATAGATTGTTTGATATGATGAGCACATTGTTCAGATTGGTACCAAAAATTGAGCACTATTCTTGTATGGTTGATCTTTTGGCACGTGCGGGTCATTTATACGAGGCATGGGATCTAATTGAGGAAATGCCTGAAAAGCCAGACAAAGTTACACTAGGTGCTTTGCTTGGTGCCTGTCGAAGGAATAAAAATGTAGATATAGGGGAACGGGTTATGCGGATGATTCTGGAGGTGGATCCTTCAAATTCTGGGAACTATATTATCTCATCAAAAATTTATGCAAATCTGAACATGTGGGAAGATTCTGCAAGGATGAGATTGTTGATGAGACAGAAAGGTATTACTAAAACTCCTGGTTGTAGCTGGATTGAAATTGAGAATCAGTTGTATGAATTTCATGCAGGTGATGGTTTATGCCTTGACTCTATAGATATAAGTAACATAATTTATTTGCTCTATGAAGAACTCAAAAGGGAAGGGTATCTCCCAAAAGTTGTTGAATAGTTTTTTGAGTCGTGCAGAGCTAAGTTTTGTTTTACTGGAAGTTACCAGAGCTAGGAAAATTGGGTCAAGTGGTAGTCAGCTCAATTTTAGATATTCATGATTATTGGATTGGGCTCATCAGATAAGAGATCAGACAAGGCAGTTCAGTTAATTTACAGTGAACCTTATTTGTTGTTCTGCTGTGTTGTATTCTTTTGTAGACGAAACTCCACATAGATCATTTAAAGAGGATGACATTTGGGCATTTGTATCAGCTTGAATGCCGTATAGAAATGAAAAGGAGATTCTCATGAAAACATGTGCTGCACTGCTGTTGCCTTTTGTAGTATCCATCGGCATCTCTGCTCCAAGTTTTGACACTCTTGAGAAATTTTTCACTTTTTTTATTTGAGGAAATAAGAAAACAGATTTTTCTTCTGAAGAACAAGACTCTGCATCGATCAGGCAAACATTTGGGGTCAGTGGGATCCAACAACTGATCTTTCTTTTAGGGAAGCAACAGTAAATCTTCTATATATTATATCAGCAAGAACATACAAGAGTATTTGAAAATTTTGGTACTCCCTATTTATATTTGATATTTCACAATGGAGGTTTAGTTAGGCATAATATATGACGACAAAAGCTGATGTCTATGGGTGTATTTACTTAAAGACAAATTTGATTGCATTAACTTATTCCAAAAAATTTTAAATATTTTGAAAATCATTTTCATGTTATGTTAGGTTTCCGACGTAGAAGCCTAACTTTCTCACAACACCCACTCACCCAAAGGCAATCAAACAATAAAGAACAAAGGAATTGTATGAATTTCACTGTGATTGTATGTATTTACTATAACGTATAGCGAAATACAATAACGGGAGCCTAATCCCCCTCAACAAGGTCCAAGACTTGTTTACACAAAAGTATTTGGCTAGCTACCTTTTAACAATGAATAGAACTCTATTTATATAAGATCTCCCATCCCGCCTTTCTTAACCGCTCTCTCATTTTCCCGTCTTTCTTAACTGCTCTCTCATTTCCTCTTCCTTCTATCCTCTTACCTTAGATTCTATCATTACACCCTGCTGCAAAACAACCTTGTCCTCAAGGTTGGAACAATGAAGTTTGAGCCCATTGCATTGTGATATGGTCTTATCATAGGAAGGGAACCCTCTGGCTACTCCCTGCAACTTCCTGTCTGGAGGCTTGGGTGGTGGTCGAAATGAGAGACAAAACTTATGGGACCATTTTCGTGTCTACATTATTTCCTTGAAGGCGAGGAGCTTCTTATTCTTCCCTGTAAGATAACTTCTTCTACCGTTCGGTTCTCTTCCCACTATCTTTATACCATTCGGCTTTTTTCCCCTATCTTTATACCGTTCGGCTCTCTTCCCACTGTCTTTATACCGTTCGGCTCTCTTCCCCCTATTTTTATACCGTTCGGCTCTCTTTCCCCTATCTTTATACCGTTCGGCTCCTCCCCCTTGCCTTCAACCGTTCGGCTCGCGTTAACAACCCTTGGCAGAGTTGCTGCAAGATCTTCAATTGTGGACAACTCCGTCTGCTTCAAGTCTAATTTTGTCTCAACTCCTTCAGTCTCCTCCTCTTCATCCTCCGCCAACCTAACCATCCGTAGACTCCTTCCTAGGCAATAGTTGCCTGGACCGAACTGTCCCCTGAAACACCTTCTCTCCTCACTCCATTTCAGGAATTCTGAGTAAGGTAGTTTCCGGGTGTTTAGTACTAACCCCACACTCTTGGCGGCTCCCGATCGGCCTGGGCTATAGCGCATTGCCTCGGACCGCTCGACAACACTCGATCGGCCTGGGTTATAACGATTGGTCTCGGACAGTGTCACCGTCCCCAAGACGACTGGTCTTCAATCCCGTTCCCGTTCCCCACCTTTGCGCCTCCTTGGAACTCCTCAACATCCCTTGCGATCCGCATCGCCACCATTAATTCCTGCGGGTTATGTGGTCGGACTTGATTTCGGATGTCTTCTTGCAATCCCGCAAGAAAATATCCTAACAGCTACTCGTCCGGCGCCCTCCTCGTTCGACCCGCCAATATCTTGAAGTATTGTACATACTCGTCCACCGTCCCTGTCTGTTTCAATGCCGCCAAACGCTCAACAATGGTTCCAAACCTTATCACTAGGGCTTCCTTCAAACCATCCCATGAACGATTCTTGACTTTCTCCTTCCAAGCTCTGAACCAGTAGCCCGTGCTGCCCTCCATGCTTAGGTACGCGAGCCGCACTTTCTCCTTCTCCGCTACTCCTTGAAGCTCGAAAAATTCCTCTACCTGTGCGATCCAGCCAGTGGGATCCGCACCGTCAAATGTAGGTAGTTCAACGCGCTTCCTCCAACTGCGTCGAACTTCTCCTCTATCTTCTTCTGATTCCTCCTCCGAGTTTTCCGATGGTCGTCGTTCGCGTCCCGCATTGATGGAATCACCACTTCCTTCGGATCTCCTAGGCTGGTTCCTGGTGCGACGTCCTGAAGCTCGTGAAACGCGAGAATCATCGCTCGCACCTCCGCCTTCGATTCCTCCACCGTCGACTCAATCGCTATCAATCGTCCCTCCATTCTTCTTTTTCACACGCGCTCCGTTTGCTCCTCCGATATAGATCCGGCAGGTCGAACCAATTTGTTAGGTTTCCGATGTAGAAGCCTAACTTTCTCACAACACCCACTCACCCAAAGGCAATCAAACAATAAAGAACAAAGGAATTGTATGAATTTCACTGTGATTGTATGTATTTACTGTAACGTATAACGAAATACAATAACGGGAGCCTAATCCCCCTCAACAAGGTCCAAGACCTGTTTACACAAAAGTATATGGCTAGCTACCTTCTAACAATGAATAGAACTCTATTTATATAAGATCTCACATTCCGTCTTTCCTAACCGCTCTCTCATTTTCCCGTCTTTCTTAAGTGCTCTCTCATTTCCTCTTCCTTCTATCCTCTTACCTTAGATCCTATCATGTTACCATTAAAACTTTTCGTTCTGATAATGCTAGAGTTGTCTCTCCATGATTTTTTTACTAATAAGGGTGTTATCCATCAATTTTCATGTGTTGAAAGACCCGAGCAAAACAATGTGGTTGAATGTAAACATTTGCATACTCTGAACATTGCTTGATCTTTGCCTTTTCAGTCTAATGTTCCTATAAATATTTGGGGTGATTGCATACGTACTGCTGTGTTTCTCTTGAATAGAACTCCTAGCCCTGTTTTAGGAAATAAGTCACCTTATGAAATCCTTTTTGATAAACTCCCTTTCTATTCTGACTTTAAAGTTTTCCGTTCTCTCTGTTATGCTTCAACTCTTTTGTCTTCTAGACATTAGTTTAATCCTAGAGCCATCGTTGCTATCTTTATAGGGTATCCCATGGTTACAAAGGTTATAAACAACTGGATGTCAAAATTAGAAAACCTTTTATTTCCAGGGATGTAAAATTTCATGAGCATGTTTTTCCTTTTCAAGAAAATACTGTTTCTATTGCTCCTGATATTTTTAATCTTGTTACTCCTATTTTAAATCCCCATGATCTTAATGATCATACTTTTTCTCTGGATCACAACATTTCTGTTCCTACCTCTGACCCTTCCAGTGACAATAACCTTACCTCTCCCAGTCTTATACCAGCCTTCTCTTCTGACTCTACTGTCCTATTCGCAGGTCAACTAGATTTTCTGCTCCTCCTACCTACCTTTCATATTATCACTGTTACAATGTCATTCATGATTTCAATACTCCCTACCTTATTCAAAATTATTTTAACTATTCCAAGATGTCCACTCCTTACACACACTACATCTGTCGAACCTCTGAAAGTTATCAGCCTCAAAGTTGTAAGCAAGCAATTTGATTTCCTCATTGGTAGAAAGCCATTAAAGATGATCTTGCTGCTATGGATTTGAATAACACCTGGTCTATCACCCATCTTCCTATTGGTAAGAAATTTATAAGCAGCAAATGGTTGTTTAAACTCAAGCTTCACTCTGATGATGGCACTATAGCTAAACACAAAGCTAGGTTGGTTGCTCGTGGGTTTACACAACAATATGATATTGATTTTTATGAAACTTTTCTCATGTTGCCAAAATTACCACTCTATGTATTCTTTTATCTATTGTTGTATCTCATAATTGGCATTTAACTCAACTTGACATTAATAATGCTTTTCTAAATGACAATCTTAATGAAGAGATTTTCATGAATATTCCTCCCGGTTATGCTCCTAATTTTACCCCACATATAATACTCCTTTGGTTTGTCGTCTTCATAAATCAATATATGGTTTAAAACAAGCCTCACAGCTGGTTTCATAAATTTCATGATACTATTGTTTCTTTTGGTTTTTGTCAATCTAAACATGACTACTCTCTTTTTACCAAAGGCAATGGCAATAATTTTGTTGCTCTTCTTGTTTATGTTGATGATACCATCAATATTGGCCCAAACATGGATTGTATTCATTCTGTTAATCATCAACTGAAAAACATGTTCAAATTAAAAGATCATGGTGATTTAAAATTATTTCTTGGCATTGAACTTTCCAAATCTAAAACTGATATTTTTATGTGTCAACGTCATTATATTTTATCCTTGCTTGAAGATTATGGTATGCTTGCTTGTAAACCATATGTTGTTCCTATTTATATACTTGTCATTGGTAGATTGTTATATCTGACTATTTCTGGTCCTGATATTTCTTATACTGTCCATAAATTAAGCCAATTTATTTCTAACCCATATTCTGAACATATGGAGGTTGTTAATATTTTGCTAAGATATCTCAAACACAAAGCTGGATAGGATATTTTGTTTAAATCTACATCTGATTGTAATATTCATGTTTATGTTGATATTGATTGGGGCTCATGTACGGATATCCGTCGCTCAACCACTGGATTCTACATTTTCCTAGGCAATTTTTTAGTTTTCTGGAAAGTCAAGAGACTAAAGTCAGTCAGTAAATCTTCTGTAGAAGTAGGTAACATGCCTTAACTGCTATTTCTGCTAAAATAGTTTGGTTAAGAAATCTTTTGACAGACTTTCATATTTCTATTCTTCATGCAGTAATCTATTGTGACAACAAAGCCACCATTCAAATTGCCACTAATCCTTCCCATCGTGAGTGTAGTAAGCACCTGGGCATTGATCTTCATTTCATCCATGAAAAAATGTGGAGAAAGGCACTATCAAGCTTAATCACATACAAAAGCATCACCAATTAGCTGATTTTGATTCAAGAACAAGGGTCATAAGCTGATTTTGACCAAGTCAATTCTATTGACCAAGGACTATTCTGCAATTTTCAAAAATTAAAGAGGGGGTTAATGAGTAAAGGAAACAATAAAAAGGCTATATAGACAAAACTGTACTTTTATTTTTTTAAAAGGAACAAATATTATTATTTACATTAAAACACTACTAAAAACCACCTTTCAAATGATTTTTTTCAAAAAACTCAATTTTTTGTATAAAAACTAAAATATAACTTAATTATAGAATTTTGCAAACTAATTAAAACTAAAAAGAAAATTTTATTAAGGAAAAAGAAGAAAAAAAACAGTGTCAAGCAAAATTATATCCATTTATTTTTAAAGTTAAAAAAATATATCAAAATTTTAAACAAAATTAATTATAAGTTTGCTTCCAAGTTTAGAAACTAAATATTTAATTTATATATATATATATTTGGATTAGGTATTGGTATTGTAAGAGTGAGTGAAGTGTTTTATATATATATAATTATTTGCTTAGAATGATACATATATAACTTCTATCACTTAGTATCTGAAACAGTTTGATGCGCACGGGCAAACATGCGATGAAGCACTGAAGGCATTAACATGATGCATGAGAGAAGGTGCACCAACCCATTCATGTGACACCCTTCATGCCAAAACAACCTCAAATCATCTTATTATCTCTCCAAATATTTATATATATAATGTTCCTGAATGCATTGAATATACAAAAGAGTTGTTGTTAACACTGAGAAAAGAAAGAGTTATACATGGAAAGTCCAGAAAAGAGCAGTGTTGGATTCTTTCAGATGCCTCTGCACTATCCAAGATACACTCAGAAAGATTACCAGGATATGCCTGAGTGGAAGCTTGATAGCCTTCTCAAGGAATATGGCTTACCAACAAATGGTGATTTAGCTTACAAAAGGGACTTTGCCATGGGTGCTTTTCTTTGGCCTAACTCACTCTTACTGCATAACAATGTAATAACTATAACTTATCACAAGTGAGATACTCCACAAATTTTCTCCCAATATATGCCTTTTTTTCAACTTTTTAATGTTATTTTACCTTAATTTCTTTTTTTAGAATAATGACACTTATTATCTTCATCACCAAATGTAGGGTAATATAATATATATTAATTATGTTATATGACAGACTTGTGTAAATATATATTCATCAATTCAGCTTTCAACATATTAATTCATTTGTATTTTCAATTTTAAACTTTGCATAGTTTTTTTTTATATATAATTCATATCTTTTAAGAAAAATCTTATTGGGCTTTGAGTAATTTAAAAAACTAACTGCATATTCTAATTAATGCACATTTAATAATAAGCTTCAATTTTTTATCATGTCTCAATGAGCATAAGAAGACCGTAATCCAATAGCTCTAAGATGGAATTTTTTTTTTATATCTTTGAATGTGATGGTTTTTAATAATAATAAAAAATATTTTAAAGAGTGATTATCATTCCCAAGATCATGATTACTGACAATAATATATTATTGGAAATCGTATACTTAAGAATGATTAGAATATATATATATATATATATATATATATATATATATATAAGTTTTTTTGTAAATTAAATAATAACATCATGTTTAATTAGAAAAAATAGTTATTTGCCATATTAAATAATTTAATAAAAATATCATAGGTTACAAGAATCATATTTTTAAGAATGAATAAAATCTATTTAATTTGTAATAAATATTTCTGAAAATATTTATATAAATTTCATTTAATTCAACGTAACGTGATTTTCTTTTAAAATAATTTAATCATTTACTATGTCAAATGATTTTATGAAATGATAAAATGTTTTTCAAGGTAAAAAAATTAACTTAAAAGAAGAATTAGATTCCCCATCTTATAAAATCAATTTTAAAAGAAAAATTTAACTAAGAAAATTCTAAAAACTCTAATTTCCTGATTTTTTTTTTCTGAAAATTATATAAACATGAGAAACTATTCATTGCCTTCATGACAGACCAAATTTTATATTCGATATGCCATGAGAATGAAAATAGAATAATTTTTTTATACTTATTAAATATATAGGTAAAAATGAAGATGAATTCTTTTCAAAGATAAAAATAGAATAATATGAACAAATTAATAATCTTCACACGAAAGCAAAGGTGTCGGAATTCATACGCGACACAAATTATGACGGTACTCCTTTTTATTATTCATGTATGTGTCACTGTTACCAATACAATACCACCACACAGTTTAATTTCTTATTTTTTTAAATGAAAAAAGGAAATTAAAAAACTGAAAACTCGTAAAATGAATATAAATATATTTTACAAGAAAGAAAAATTTAAATACACGAAAATGAAAGAAAAATAATTCAAAACTTCTTAATTGTGAATTAAGATGCAGGAATAATATTTTTATACAACATATTTCCATTTGATTTCAAACAATTTTATAATATTTCTAGCAATATATTTTTTTTCATATATAATTTCTATGATTTTTTATTATGAACAATTTTCTCCTACATATAGTATTATTTTTTATTTAATTAAAGCTTAGTGGTGAAACAGAGAAATGGACATTGCCATTTTACCTCTGCGTCGGTGCTTTGCTTCAGTTCCTCCGTTACAGTGGCGCAGTTATTAGCAGCGTCACATGCACACTGCATCCAATTAACTCTCATTGAGACGATTCGTTTCGATTGGCGAATCGAACCATCATGAAACCCTACACCGCCACCGTTGCGGATTACCCCAGAACCACCCTCAAGATCGTCTTCTTCTTCATCTTCGTCGCCCTCACATTCTTCTTCGTTGGCAAGCACTTCTCCGACGGTTCCTCTCCACAGCTCATTTTCTTCTCCGCCACCACTGCTGCCGCCACCTCCGAGGTCACCGTATCCCCCAACTTCAACCAATTCTTCAATGTCTCCGCCATAATCGACGCCCACACGCCTCCAAAGCCCCCCGTACCTCTCCCCGTTCCTCCCCCCGCTTCTGAGCCTCAGGACGTGTTCAAGCGCTTCGGGATCCTCAACGAGAATGGCACCATGTCCGACGAGTTCGAGGTTGGTGACTTCGAGGACGGCGCGCCGGATGAGGCGGGGAATGTGAGCCTCGTCGCCGAGGATTCCGACTCAGCTCCCAGAGTATCTGTGAGCAAGTTTGGAATGTGCCCGCGCAGCATGAGCGAGCTTATACCGTGTTTGGACAACGAGGATGCAATTCGGAAACTCCAGTCCACGGAGAGAGGAGAAAGATTCGAGAGGCACTGTCCCGAAGAGGGGAAACGATTCAATTGCTTGATTCCGCCGCCTAAAGGGTACCGTCCCCCGATTCCTTGGCCCAGAAGCCGCGACGAGGTAACAGCTTCCTTCCCATGCTTTTGGATTATTAATTTATTACTGGCAAAATTGTTTTTGATTAAAATTGATTTTGAAGTGACTTGTAGAACTCAATAGTATAAAATTCTTTATGTAATGTAAAAACTATCTAAAGTTGCTTGAACCTATAATCAATTCTGTATTCAAAATTAATCTTTCAACAGGAAACTAAATAGGTGAAAATTTACGTAAAACCATTGATTTTCGTCATTTGGGAACTTATTTAGTAAGTCTTTCCTTGGATCCCTTTATATTAACTACTACTAATACTAATGGTTTACTTTTTTCAGTTTAATTTGATTGTTTAGTTGTTATGCACTGGCATTCTAAACCTCTGTAAACTGTCAATCAATTATAAATTACCATTGCTAAAGCGATTCTAATAAGTAGTAAAAAAATTACATTATGGATAAATTTTAGTTTCCATGCATCTCTGTCAATGTAAAAGGTTTTCCACGTCAATCTATGAACATAATAACTATTATAAAAATGACCAGTGTTTTCTAAGTGGATGACAATGTAAAAGCTTTCTACACGTCAGTGCTTGTAATTAAATTCTTAATTTATACATGAAGTTATACTTACATTTAATATCACTTGGCTACTTTATAATGCCATCTTGTTCATTAATATGATGTTTAAATTTTGGTTGTTTGTACAGAGATGTTTCTTATTGAATTTATATAATATCATCTTGTTTTTACACTTTTTTGAAAAAAAGAAACGGATTATTATTTTGTAAAAGAGAAGTTGCTCCCAGTGATGCACTGGTGTAAACATATTTGTGTCTAAATTTTAGAATTTACTTGTCCTTCTTTTGGGTGGGGTGTTTTTACAATGGTTTCTTAATGTAATGTTATGTGTTTCTTCTTGTAGGTTTGGTACAGCAATGTTCCTCACACTCGTCTTGTTGAAGATAAAGGGGGTCAAAACTGGATTTCCAAAGTCAAGGATAAGTTTAGGTTTCCTGGGGGTGGTACACAATTTATACATGGAGCGGATCAATACTTGGATCATATTTCCGAGGTTATTAAATAAATATTGTATGCCTTGGTTTTGCTTTTATGGACAGTGTAGGTGCGTCTTTTTTTATGATTCTGATGTTTATATGTCATGGTTTTGTAGACGGTTCCTGATATTAAGTTTGGGCAGAATATAAGAGTTGCCCTTGATGTTGGCTGCGGTGTTGCTAGTTTTGGTGCATACTTACTGTCACGAAATGTCATAACCATGTCTGTTGCTCCCAAGGATGTTCATGAGAATCAGATCCAGTTTGCTCTTGAGCGTGGTGTGCCAGCAATGGTTGCTGCATTTGCAACTAGACGATTGTTATATCCAAGTCAAGCTTTTGACATGATACATTGTTCACGCTGTAGAATTAATTGGACTCGGGATGGTATGATCTCTAACGACTAATTGATTAGTGGGAGTCATGTATTTAGTCAGTGGTTCTTAAAGCTTCCCACTTCCTTTCATTTTCTCAGTTGTCTTTTGAGTTTCTATTTCTTATGACATGAATGACTGTATTTATATGTTGTGTTTTTACTAGTAAATCTTCATATTTTTCGTCCTTAAATAAACAATCAAATCAAAGATCCTTGAATCTTCTATTACCATCTCTTTTGTTGGGTCCTGATTTCTTCCCCGATAGATTTTTCTTACTAAGAAAATTAATAACTAGTTACCATGTGTTAATTTGATATTAATTTTTACCTGATACAGTGTTTCCTTGTTAGTTGAAAAGGGATTGAATGAGAAGGGGAGGAGGGCAGGACTCTTTTCTGATTGCTTTAAATCTTATAAAAAATACTGTTGGTGAATATAAAATGAGAGCTTTTTCAATGTGCTACTCCAATCTCTATGTCTGTTGCTCACTTTGAATTTCTTCTCTAACATCTATATTTTTACTTTGGTGAAGATGGTATTTTACTGCTTGAAGTTAATAGGATGCTAAGGGCAGGAGGGTACTTTGTCTGGGCTGCCCAACCTGTTTATAAACACGAGGAGGTGTTAGAAGAACAATGGAAAGGTACCATTCAACTTGATAACTATTTATAAGTTGAATTTCTTGAAACTTTTCAGCTGGTTCTTGTATTTATATATTGCTTAGTTTTGTACCTCGGTATTAGTATGTTCATTTTCTGACATGATGTACCCACCAAATTTTTTGCTATCTCAGAGATGCTTAATCTTACTACTCGTCTATGCTGGAAGTTTTTGAAAAAAGATGGGTATGTTGCAATATGGCAGAAACCTTCTGACAATAGCTGCTATCTAAATCGTGAGGCAGGGACTCAACCTCTACTGTGTGACCAAAGTGATGACCCCGACAATGTTTGGTATTGTGTTCTTGCCTTCCTAATCCACAGATTATTATGACATTTTTTTATCTTTTCCAATTATGTGATCAATGCCAAATTTACTATCATCTTCTGTGATAGAGCTTCCCAACTAAGAACTACTATTTTTTTTTGGGTTGTATGGAAATAAAATAAAAAGTTTAGTTATTTCCATGACCAACAATTCACTGAATCCTTCATATAAATATTTTTAAATTTACGTGAATTACCTAGTAGAGCCAATAATATTTGTGGATAAAGCAGAACAAAAAATGAAAAGGAAACAGAAACTATTATGTATGGGTATTCATTGATGCGGAATATGTTATCTAAATTTACTATACTTGTTTGTTTGTTTGTGGTATTTGCAATCTTTTGCAGTCTATATAAACACCCTTTTAACCCAATGCCAACAGTTAGGAAGAAACCTAATGACAAGTTGTATAGTTCTTAAAAATGAACAATTTGGGTCTGCTTTGTGATGACTTTATCAAGCATCAGTGTTTTCAGTATTTGCTTCATTAATTTAGGTATGCTAACCTAAATGCTTGCATCTCCCGACTGCCTGAGAATGGATATGGAGCAAATGTTGCCAGATGGCCTGCACGATTGCATACTCCACCTGATAGGCTTCAAAGCATAAAATTTGATGCTTTCATATCCAGAAATGAGCTTTTTAAGGCTGAATCAAAATACTGGGGTGAGATTATAGCAAGTTATGTACGTGTCTTACATTGGAAGAAGATGAAATTAAGAAATGTTATGGACATGAAAGCTGGTTTTGGAGGGTATTGTCTTTATCCAAAATTTCTTTTCTTGTTATATTATAACTTTAGGATTTTCTATTAGTATATTTGTGTACTTCGCAGATTTGCAGCAGCATTGGTTGATCAGAATCTTGACAGCTGGGTTATGAATGTTGTTCCTGTTAGTGGTTCAAACACCTTACCTGTTATATATGACCGTGGGCTGATTGGAGCTATGCATGACTGGTATTTTTCTTAAAATTATTAGTCATTTTCTTAAACACATACTATTAGGAATCAAATTCAATAGAAACCAAAAACAATATTATTTATTGGAAAAACACAACTATCATATTAGATGACCACTGTAATCTCAGAGTTAATACTCCTCAGGGAGAGGACTGACACTCTTACTACCCAACCTCTAAAGGTTCCAAATGAAAAGATACCTAATATACCTTCTCCCCTGCCGTGTCTCTTGTAACTAATTTTTTGTTCAGGCCAATCCTCAAACCCGATATCCTAATACATTCTAAAAATATTGTACCAATATTTTGTGAACCTGGCAGAAAGTTGTAATATTTCTCTATTTATCTTTTTGTAATTTAGGTGCGAGCCGTTTGACACATATCCGAGAACTTATGATTTACTGCATGCTGCGAACCTGCTTTCTGTTGAGAAGAAAAGGTACCTTTTTCTCTACTTCTCAACTGTCTATCATTTTCTGGGTTACTTTTGCGATTGTGTTGATAACATGAAAAAAAAAAGTTAGAGTACTAAAAGTATGTCGGGTAGACTCAGGATGGCTCACGGACTTTTACCTCTTTCTCTGTTTTTTGTTTTAATCTGCCGTTTGTAGGATTAGTAAGTACCCTTCACTACTCAAGATACTATTTCTCTCGAGCAAAGTAAAATGGTTTGAATATCGGATGTGTAACTCATCCTTTATTGCCATAGTAAATCTGCTGCTTTTTCCTTAGTAACCTGCATCTAAACATTTGTCCATCTAGAAATAAGTTATATTTGTATTTTTATTCTTCCTGTAGATCATGTATTACGACTTCATCAATGCGTATTGCATGAAATAAACTTGTACAAGTTTACGCTATTAAGTTGTTACGTCTGAGTGCATTTCGGGGATTCTTTACTATTGTTTCATTTGTCTTTTATCAGATGCAATGTGTCATCAATTATGCTTGAGATGGATCGCATACTAAGACCTGGTGGACGGGCATACATCCGTGATACTCTTGCCATCATGGATGAGCTTATTGAGATTGGTAATGCCATGGGCTGGCATGTGACATTGCGCGACACATCTGAGGGTCCTCATGCAAGTTATAGGGTCTTGGTTTGTGATAAGCGCCTTCGCGGTTAATGCAAACTCTCACTCTTTTACATCTCTGCAACTGCAATGGGGAAATTAAGAGAATATAGTCACACTGATTTTCTACGAATAGGAGGATGAGGCACGAGCAAATGTCACTTGTTTTTGTCAGTTGGTTCTTGACCCCCAATCGCCAGAGCAGCTAGATTCGTATAGTGTGCACGCCATGTAACTTGTTTATATAATTCAATTTATTTGTATATCACAGTTTTAGGACAAACACCAGACAAATTTTAACTTAAATGGCTTTTTTCTGTTTCTCACCATTCCACTCCTAGATCCGTTGAGTGTAAACTTTCTATGAAAACAAGCATGGATAGTCACAAGCCATGACTAGTTATTCAGTTTGCTGTAACCAATGGTAATTTGTTTCATAGTACATGATTGATCTTGTTAATGTTAGCACTACTTCCAAACAGAGAAAAATCTACTCGCGTTGGCTAAACTCTAACTTCTAAGTGTTTTATATATCGAAAACATGTCAATAAAATAATAATAATAATAATAATAGAGATAGAGTTATTTTGAAAGTAAATTTATAGAAGCTATTGTTCATTTTGTAATCTAACTAAAGTTACTCTTCTGATAATAATAATAATAATAATTACAGAAAAATATTATTTCTTTAAATAGGAAGTCAAAATTGTTTAAGTGGTCCAAACTTGATCCTTTATTTTGTGTTCGTTTGCAAGATTGCAAGTGATTTATTGTGGTGAGCGAAAGGAGAAGAATGATTTGCGGGTAAGAGCCGTGGATTTGAGAAACAGGGGATTAGCGGGACGGGAGGAATGATTTACGGTAAAAGTGAGCACATCATCAACAAAATATTGCAAAAAATTTTATATATTTTGCCTATTTTGACTAAAGGTAAAGAAAAATATCACAAGTTTATTATCTTAATTTGTTTAGTATCAGAATTTTGAGATATTTTAAGTATGTATTATTTTTTTAAATATCTACAGTTTTACTAAATAATTAAATAAAAGATTAATTAAGATGTAAGCTTTTTATGATTTTCATATTAGAAGATATTAAAAGTGATTATGAGATAATGAAATCTAAAAAATAAATTAAGAAATGACACAAGTTATAAATTTCTGACTGCGACTTGACTTTATTTTACTAAGGCTTTGTTCACTTAGAATGAATTTGGAAGAGAGTGATTGAGAGGATTTCAGAGGATTTGAAGGTAATTTTTTTTATTGTTTATTTGAGTGAATTTGGAAGTATATGAGAGTTGATTTGGAATAAATTTTTTTAATTTGTCACGTCAATCAAATTCTACACTAATTCTTATAAACTTTACTTCCAAATTCACTCTCACTTACCTCCAAATCCCCTCAAAATAAATAACAAAAAAATTTAACTTTCAAATCCTCTGTAAGCTAAAAAAAAGAAACACTAAATTATATTCAACTTAAATTAAAAAAAATTAATCCTCTCAAATCCTCTAAAAAAATAAAAAAAAAGAGAAGAGTAAGCTAGACTTAAATTATATTCAAGGGACATAATATAAATGGAGCTGAAAATAAAAAAAGAAACACTAAATTATATGCAACTTTCTAAGCAAAAAGAAAGGACTATAATTTGTCAATTCATCTATACAAAATTAATTTTACTTTATGTAGTTATTTTTCTTAAGAATATAGAAATAATCAATTAATTTTAATATTTCAATTAACAATGTATTTGAACTTTACATCTCAAGGTTATTATAAATATATGCAAGATAATATGCTGAATACAAATATTTTTCAAATAGTTATATATTTTTATTGATAAAATCTCTTCTTTACTTGCCCCAGCGTTTCAAAATATCTATCTATTCACAGTTTATAGCAGCAACACTCACTGCTCCTTCTTCTTCTTCTTCTTCTTAGGCAACGAAGCGAGTAACAATCTTATATATTATGGTACACTCTCTTTTATTTTACTTCATTTTTTCTGCACTCTGTTTTCATTTTGCTTTTACAATTTGTTTTTCGAGGGATACGCCCCTATTGTTTTTTGTGATTGCATTCTTCCATTCTTTTAAGATTGTTGGTTAATTTTGCAAAAAAATTGAAACTTGTGTTGGTTGAGTAATGATTGACGTTTTTGAACTTTGAAACACTGAATTGGTGTTGTTGTTGATGATTCTAGTTTGGAAAAGTAATTTGTTTTGCAATTGTTTATTTGTTTAGTTGGTGGAGGTGGTGGTTTGAGATGGATCTCAGGCATTTTAGAAGTGAATTCTTGCCCACAACACTCAGCCCATCTTCAACTTACCTTCAACTTTCTCCTCTTAGGCGTTTTTACAAAACCCCAAACCTAAAATTCCAATCACAAAGACACTTTGCAGTTCTCTCATTCTCCCAAACCCCTAAACCAGTAAGAAGGGACCTGAGGTGTTACGCTGGTCGTAGCAAGAAGTCTGGTGGTGATGGCTCCTCTGGTGGTCGAATTGAAGGCGCTGCAGAGTTACGGAGTCGGTGGAAGCGCATTAATAGTGCAAGAACCAAGAAGTATGCGGAGTCTCTGTTCTACAGACTGAAAAACCCTCATGGTGGTGGGAATTATCCTGATAACTTCACTGAGGATGAGCTCCAACAGATTGGTCTCGGGTATGATCGAATGGTCCGGTTCATGGAGAAGGATGACCCGAATTTGCGTCATCCTTATGATTGGTATAAGTATGGCCAATATGGACCCTACTCTTGGCGTGGAGTTGTTGTGGGCGATCCGGTTCGGGTAGGGATCACGGATGAGTGTGTGACGCTGATCAGTGAAGTGAAGGACCATGAGGAGTGGGAGAAGATTGAACAAGCTGAAATGGCTGAAGATTATGGGGAAAAAGTGAAGCATCTGGATCAAAGTAAATTAAGGTATTTTTGGGTATTTGTAAGGCACCCAAGGTGGAGACTTTCAGAGCTTCCGTGGGAGCAATGGACGCTAGTTTGTGAAGTAGTACTTGAGGCTGGTAAACAGAGATTAGATAAATGGAATTTGATGGGTAGACTTGGGAACAAGGCTAGGTCGGCGATAGGGCAATGTGCTGCATGGATGAGACCTGATATTGTATATGTGAAGAAGCCTGTGTTCCAGTGTAGGTTTGAGCCACAGGATGGTTTTTTCAAGCCATTAATTCAACAACTTAACCCTGAAACAGAACAGGATTTTCTTTTTGAGTTGGAAAACGATGATGGTAGTGCTGAGTTGTGTACTTACTATGCCGGATTGTGTAAGATTGTGAAGGTGAATCAAAAGGCATTTGTCGATGATGTGGTAAATGCGTATGATAAATTGAGTGATGAGAAAAAGTCAAAATGTTTGGAGTTTCTGTTGAAAAACCATCCAGTGGAATTGTTACATCCATATACAAAGGAGTGGAAGGCTAAGTTGGAAGAGATGGAGCTGGGTTGTGATGCTCCTGATGAAGAAGATGATGCTGTTGATGATCCTGATGATACTGAGATTCTAGATTGGATTGAGGATGAAGGTAGTGGTGACGATGCTGATGAGGAGGAGGAGGAGGAGGAGGAGGAGGAGGAGGAGGAGCTGAATGATGATGATGATGTTGATCCCTATAAAAACCAAGATCTAGTGATGGACATGGAAGAAGGTGAAGATGGCAAATATGAGGCCATGGAAGAGGATGAGACTGACTTTAATTGGAATGAGGAGTTTGAAAAGGCATTAAGTAGCGGAGATGCAATGGAAAATCTGGCAAGGAAGGCTCTTGAAACCAATAGAAAGCTGAATAAGAGGCAACCAGTAATGCACAAAGTAGAGGAAGAGACAGCACCCTCAGTAGATGGAGATGAAACTGCCTTGAGAGGCAAGCGAGCAAAGGTGAGTCCAGAAGAGTGGAAGTATATTGGGATTGGAAGATGGAGAAAAAGGATTAAGAGAAGCAGAATTCCTCCAGAGCTATTTTTGCGAGCGGTTGTTAGACCTTTCACTTACAGAAATCTTGTAAAAGAGATTGTTTTAACTAGGCATGCAATCTTGGATGGTGAAATTGGTGCACAAGGTTAAGACATTTGCCTTTTACCTGAAGGCCATATGTTGTGTACTTGTGTAGGAGTGATGTTGACTGGTCTTTAGATGGTTCAACATTATTCAATTTCCATCATGTTGTTCAAGTTGAGGGAATAGAATAGACAGAAATTTTTAGTGAGTTTTCTTTATGCTTATCTAGTTGCTGAAAAGGATGAAGTATACGTCTTACAGTATACAATATCAGTTTTGGACTACTTCAGAAACTACTTCTATTTATTTATACTGGTGTTTCTGTGTATTGCTCCTCTATACTGCCACTGCTTAGTTTAGTTGTTGTTTACTGCCATCCCATTGAATTTGGAACAATGTTCTATCTGTTTATTTTATTATTATTATTTTGCTTTTCTTCACTTGGAACGATCTTTATTTATTTATTTATTTATTATCATTATTATTGTTATTATGATCCTGGCTTAATCTAAAGAAGGAGGAAGGGTTGCTTCAGCTTTCTTTGTGAATTATAGAGGGAAGGGACTTTGATCTAAAAACGGAGAAAGATTTTGTGGGTCTGAGCTAAAAAAGAATCACTTCCTATGGTGAGGGAGGATATGGACAATCATAACTTGATAAGTATTGTATACATTTTTTTCCTCTTAAATTCTGATGTAGCCAAGTGATCAAATTGCTTAGCTGTTAACTTGGTCCATGAATGGTAAAGGTGTTGATTGATTAGTGCTGGATTTTGAATTGGATGGGCCTGTTTGGATAATCTATCAAAATTTGACCTTTTCTCTTTGGGCCATGATCTGGGCTTCAAAAGTCCCATTACATTTCTGGCCCACAACCTTCCATTCTACTGAACAGTATGGTAGCAGATTCCAATGGTGTGAGTTGTAATTGGACCAGAAAAAAAGGAAAACTTACCAATGATTAATCAACAACAGGCAGAGGTTGAGATGGAACCTCCACTTTGTGTTTGACAAGCTACCAGAATCTGATGCTCCCAAGTAAAAGAAAGTCCAAGCAAAGTTCATCAAATGTTTTGTTGTGGGACGAATGGTTTTTCAACTAATATTATATTATTATTATTCTCCCACTTCCTCATTCCTTACAAACATTATTGTTCCTTGTGGATAGAATATTTAGATAATCACCAAAAGTGGAACACTCATGGTCAATCTCATCAACAAAAGCCACACAAGTTTTGAACGCGTGTTAACTTACTTTTGGAATATAATCATATCTAATACTTTCCCACTCTTCACAATTTTCCTTTACATTTTCAAGATTTTGAAATGAAAACATATACATTCTCATGTTTGGTAGAGATCATCACAAAAATTGTCAAAAAGTAAATTTTTCCTTTCAAGAATTGTGTATACAAAAATATTTCATGTAGATTTTGGCTATATAGTTTGATCTATATACTTAATCACTTTCGATACTTGTTTATATTAAATGAATTTAATTTAAATCATGAAGAATAAGTTGAAACTCACATGGGGTTTATTGCAATGTCGCTATGATATGGTATACATAATTAATTTATAGACTTTGACACAAGTATATACATAATACACACACACACGACACTTTCACCGTCAATAAATTGTGCATCACAACTTCGTATAAAATATCTGAAAAATTATTAACGATAAGGTCCTCTACGACTGATATATTAATTTAGTTTTGTTGTGGTTTTAACCAAGGAAAATGCAAATAAGGCTGATTCTATATGGCTGTTGCATGAATCACTCAACTAAACCCATGAAAATGTAATTAAGTTGAATGAATAATTGCAAATTGAATGCAATTTGTTTATACCTTATGTCAAGGGAAAGTTTCCTTATAATTTTATAAAAAAAAGTCTTACTAAAGCATGAAGTAATTGCATTTTAACCAGGTAAAACAGAGTCTCTTTTTATGTTGGTCCACCCCATTTTGCAATTTCAAGTCATTATATTATCCTTGATTTTTAGAAAGAGGATGGACCCTATCTTGGATATTTTATGGTTTATGATTGAATCATATAATGCAAATAATTTGTAATGATGTCTTCTTTGTAATATAATAAAGAAAAAACAAAGAATAGAACAAATTGACAAGCAAAAATATTAAGTAGAAGAAGTATCAAAACAAAACCAACATGTTGGACATGGAGAACAGAGTTGAGAGTTTTTTATTATAATTTTCTTCTAAAAATGGTTATAATTTTTGCCAAGACATAACAAGTGGAAAGTAAAAGTAAAGTTTTGGTGGAATGCTTTGTTCTTTATAATATTTTTGTGTTGTAACATTGTTTAATAAATTTGAATGAAGGGTTTTTCAACTATTATTTCCTCCACTTGTGCATTATTTCTTACCACATTATTCCTTATGGATAGTATATTTAGGCAATCATCAAAAGTGGAACATTCACGGTCAATCTCATCATAAGAGCCGTGGAAACTTTAGATATATGTTGTTGCAACATACTTGTGGAATAAAAACACATTTCAATAACCTTTTTACAAAATCAAACAAATGAATTATATTTCTTTTATAAACTAAAATTTAGTTGTTTTTCTTTTAACAATTTTTCGTTTAACCTAATAAAGCTTAATATTTTGCTTGAAACAGTTTTAACAATAGTTTTACGATTAAAAAATACCATTCAAGTTAAAAATTAATCTAAAAATTGAACCGGGTCCTAATGATTTATCTCTTTTTTTTTATTCCATTGATTCTTTAGATCAATGTTGGATAAACGTGTGCACTTTCCATTGAATTAGAACATAAGGATGCTATTTCTTCTTTTGTGGTTTTTGTTTTCCTCTTCTGAAAGGGTGCCTAACTCTTGTAAATTTCTTTCAGAAAATTAAATATTGGAACCCCTTTTTTCTCCATTTTGGCCACTTGGTTGGGACACTCTTCGTATTTGATTGTGTGAAGGGTTTGGATAGGATAATATTATTGCATCTGATATCTTATCCAATTCTATATATGCCAAACCAGGAATGGAAATGTGGTTCATTCATGCCCTTAGCTTACCTTCTGCTTCATGTTTCAACCTTATCCTCACACCAAGCGTTATTTTAGGATATTGAAACTAGAATTAAACTCTTCAACAAACAAAAACCAAGAGATAAATGTCAATTAGCAATTTAATGGAGATCATCAACTATCTACAACATCAAGGTAAGTCTAATATACATATAAAGAAATTAACCATTTTCGATCTAAAATCTTAATACAATACATTTTGTTTCAGAACTTTTCCTCCATTGCTCGCTTTATCGTTTGGTTCAATTGGGAGTTACATGCAGATGATATTCATACTAAAGTTAGTAAGAATCTCTCAATATTAACAATAAATATGTAATGAATGTAATAATCTATCACAATACCAGAAATTTGAATTTATAAATTTTGAAATGACTTCAGGTTAATACTAGCTTAATTACAGTCCAATTAGTAATGATCTGACTTAAACTTAACATAATAATCCTTAGTGTTAACTTCAGTTTTAGTTCGATTCTTTTATATTTATACACTGACCGAACTCTAATCAAACGATCAATATTTTAAAATAATAAATTTATAAATATTAAATTTATAAATATTCTTATTTTATATGTTACTCAATTTTCAATTTTCTTATGTTGTAACTAACCTCGATAGAAGTTTTCCATGTATATTCCTAGAAAAGTATTTGATTATGTTTAAAAAATAATTGTGTATGTTTGCATATTTAGGAAGATCCCAGCGACGTTCTCTAAATTGTTCCATGTGATGTCTAGAAAGTGGGGAGAAGGAATGAGAAAAAAGAGAAATTGCAGGTCGAAAAACTGGAGTGGTGGAATATTATTGAAGCATGAAAGTGGGGATTGACTACTGAAATATATGTGATGAGAATTGAGAACATAATCTACTTATCAAATCATGTCTGATTTTCTTTTCTGTGAACCTCTCATCGTGCCTTAATCCTTCTTTTGCCTCCTTTCCAACAAAATATTCACAGCTACTGCTTCGGTTTGAAGGTCTATCACGTGGATGAAGCTAACAACGTGGCATGTGCTGGTGAAGGTATCAGAGTTCGTGAAAAAGAAAACAACGACATATTCTTTCTTTTTTAAAAAATCTGGTAAACATTTCAGATATTTTCTTTGATTTTATTTTCTGGAATGAGTTTAAGTAGTTTATTGTTTCATCGCTTCATGGATCTAGATTTCGATTGGGTTAATTTGTTTCGTTCTGGAATGAGTTGATTTCCCTTGGTCGGTCATTTTTCACTACTTTAAAATTAACAGAAACAAAAATGTTATGAAAACAAATGAATAGATGCAATTTCAGTTTCTATAATAGAGCTACAAGCAAAACAAGGGTTCCCTTGGTTGTAATGGTTTTTTTCATTACTTTGAAAATTTCCATAATTTGGTGAAGGTTTATCGAAATTACAATTTTCACCCTCCTCTTGATTTAAAATACTTACTAGTATTTAATTACAATCACATGGACTCATGGAATGTGCGCCACGTAACACCTTCATTTTCTACACTTTTTGTCGTCTATAACAAAAATCCAAAGAATGAAGGTTTGGGGCGGTTGATTAGAACATTCAATTAATTATAATAATTCCTTTTATTGTTCACGATCATCTCTCCTCAAATCAACCACCACCACGCTCACATTGTCGGAACTGTGCCTCACCAACGCCAACTTCGTCAGCAGAATGGAGGCGTCGGAGCACGCCTTGTCGGAGCACTCCACCGCCGACTCCCTCCCCGGAGACGCCGCCGCCTTCTGCGCGTTTAGACACATCCGCGCCACCTTACACGCCGTGTCGTTTTGCACCGTGTCCCAAAGCCCGTCACTCCCTATTATCAAACACTCATCCTCTTCACTCCGTTCCGTTACCGTTACCTCCGGTTCCGAAATTACATACGGCTTCAGATAGTTGTCTCCTGCACAACACAACACAACACAAGACGAGGTTCATTAATCTTTCCGAACAACCCTCTCCACTGTGCTATAATGCGCAGCGAATGTATTTGTATCTGTAATTTGTAAAGAAAGAAAAGTTTGTAATACTATACCTATAGCTCTTGACATGGCCAAGACCCCAAGCACTCTAGGCCCGTCCCAATATATCACGCGCCCGCCCGCATCTTGGATCCGAAGCAACTCGTCGGGTCGATCCGGCTGTTAAAAACGGATACCAAAACAAAAAAAGGTTTGATTGTTAGTGCAACTGTTCGACAAACACCAAAGTTTTTTCCTCCACTAACCCTCAGTGGATCCACCACAATAAACCTAAACGATTCACGCGT